CCCTGTCCCCTCTCATGTCCCTCTTGCTGGGTGTTGTGGAAATGAAAGAATAATTTACAAGAGGGAGTGAGGAGGCCTCAGGCAGAAGCTGGCTGTGTGATCTTGAGTATCTCCTGCTGTCTCTGGGCTTCACAATGAAGGCTAATAGCCCCAGGAGCTCTGACTTGCCAAGTGACATCTGTGGCTCTGGATAGGCTTCCGGGCAGCTTTCTCTCCCGTGGACCTCACCACCCTGTTTCTATGAGCTGTACACCTAACTCATGGTGTTTCAAGATGGGAGATGACATAACCATTAGGGTGCAATTTGACATTCTCTGGGGAGAGCAGAATTTCTTGCAAAAGCAGTCAACTTCTTAAGCAGTGCACATGGAACTGAGGCCCAAAAGTATGACTTTCCAAGGGGATGGTGGACCCAGAGCCCTGCTTAATTCAGACACACAGAGAACTAAGTCTACCTTGTAGAAGGACCTGGCTGCACCAAAGACCTTCCCCGCCCACTGAGGTTGCACAGGCCCTGCCTCCTTTAATCCTGTTCTTCTTCCACCTTCAAGAGCTCGGTTTTTTCTACTCACAGAAAGCACATATTTAGAATCCCAGCCTCTCCCCAACTCAAGATAGGTTCCCATGGAAACCAGCAGGAGGAGAGGCAGAGAGAAACTGAGGATGCAGGCTAATGGGCCCCTCCCTCCTGTCCCCTACAGTTTCGGTGCAGGGAAACACCAGGTTGAGATGGCAGCTTCCTGGGACCCAGGGCCCCACCCCTGTGAGGTGAGGCTTTACCACTTTACCACCTCCAGCCCCTGAAGGTTTCTCTAGAAGTCCTCCTGCTGTCTCCACCTTGGCAACACAGCCCGTATAGGAGCAGAGCCCAAAGTCAGAAATCTGGGTTGAGGCCCTGCCTCAAGGCTTGGATGGGGGTGACTCTGGACAAGGTACCTAAATGTTCTTAGGCTAGTTTTCTTGTCTTTTTTTTTTTAATTTATTTTTAAAAATATTTATTTATTTATTTTAGTCATAGTTGGATACAATAGCTTCATTTATTTATTTATTTTTATGTAGTGCTGAGGATTGAACCCAGGGCCTCGCATGTGCTAGGTGAGGGCTCTCTACCACTGAGCCACAACCCCAGCCCATAGTTTTCTTGTCTTTTAAACAAGCCTAATAATGTTACTTACTCCACAATAGTAATTATGAATATTTTAAAAATGCAATAATATAAACTACTTAGCACAGAGTCAGGCAGCTGATAAACACTTAAAGAATGTGAGCCATCTTTATTATTAGCTGACTTTTGGGTAAGAAAGTGCGACAACTTAGAGATAAACCTCAGCGTTCACAGGCAGAAAGCAGAGTAAGGTGGGAGGAGGTAGGATGGCCTGATTCTGGAAAATTCCATCCAGCTCTGGAATTGGACAGTTCATTGTATCATTGGGAGGGGTGGAGAAACAGTGGTATTATAGAACTCTAAAGCATGCTCTTTCTTCAAATTCTTAGGTCTAACACTCCCATTAGGCAAGCTCATGGAAGCAAATTCCTTCTGGATTATATCCAGGGAAGGGAAATTACATCCAACCTCCATGGCTCACTGGCTGACCTCACAGAGGCTCAGTTTCCACCTCTGTCAAATGGGTGTCAATCTCGGTGTGGTTGTTGTGAGGCTGTCATGAGTGTTCTCTGGGCATAATGAGGCCCTGTTCGGTGCAGGCTGATGATGTCACAGAATCTGGGATGAGCAGTTTACCCTGCTGCCCTGCAGGGGGTGGGGAAGGCCAAGTGCATCCGCAGGATGTTGAACCACTGGTGTCTCCCACCAGGACAGAGTCCTCCAGTGGGGTGTACCCTGCCTGGGATTGCAGTCTGCGGGAAAGGGGACAGAGGGCCATCTTACCAGGCCGAGGTTCAGAGTACTGTTGTCATCTTCAGGCATGGGCAGGTACACAGCCAGGGCCACACAGTTGGCAAAGATGGTGAGCAAGATGATGGTCTCAAAGGGTCTGGTGCCCGGGTTAAGGAGCGCCTGAACTGGGGTTATAATGCCAGGGGGATGGACAGGCTCCTGGGGACCCTTCCCCACTCTCCTGTGGGGTTCCCCGGAGACCTTGTTCCCTCTCATCAGGAACAGGTAAGTTCCACTTAGACTCTCAGGGACGCAAGGGCTGGCACCCAGCTGAGGGTCACTGAGCTTTAAGGGCTAAAGAGTCTTCTGGTTGTTCCACCCTCAGTGCCTACCCCTTGCCCCAAAGAGCTGTGGCTTCTGAGATTTTTGTCCTGACAACCGGTGGGGGCTCATCCGAGAAATGGCAAGAGGCTGGGGCTGCTCCAGGTTCAGACAAAGTCCCCCACAGAACAGGGGCTGGAAAGAGGGAAGACAGAGACATGCAAACCAGGGTGCACATGCTTCACCCGCCAATAACCACCCCACTCTCCAGGCCATTTGCAGAGGTCTGCCTGGGCCCCTGCCTATCTTGACTTTCACACCTTAGGAAGCAAGTGTGTGGGAGGAGTTAGGGAAAGAGGGGCAGTGTGGGCCATTGGTGTGTGGTTCCCACCTCTCTAGGTGGGACACAGGGCAGAGGCCTGCAAAAGGAGAAGGCTCAGAGGAAGAAGGCTGGAGAAAAGGAGGCAGCTGCCCAGTAGTCTGCTCTGACAGCAGACAAGCAGGGAGGGAGAGGCCAGGATTGACGTAGCCGGGCAACTGTAGCTGTGGGGAGCAGGGCTGACCCCCACTCTAAATATCTACTTGGCCCCATGTCCCTCTTGCCCTTCCAGTTGTCCCTCAAGCTCCTATCTTCAAGGAACAGCTGGTGGGAGCCCACACTTCCAGAGCCCTTCAGAATATTTCAAATTCTCCTGACCCTCTCCCTAGGAATCCACTTGACCCAGGCCCCCTCCTCTCTGCAGCTTCTTCCTCCTTCCCCAAATAGTCCAAATATTTTCAGCGTTCTTCCTCCCAGAGCTCATGTAAGCAGAAAGGGACTTGAAATCCCTGTCCCTGGGGTGGTATGTCTAAGCTGAAGCAGCCAGGCTTGGAGCACCAAGAGCAGGCCTCTCTTCAAACCCATTTCTCCCCCCCCCCGCTTCATCCCCAGCTGGGACTGGGCCCCAGAAGAAGCCTTCCCACAACCACTCCTGATCTTCTCTTTCCCCCTCTCGTGGAGGGTGAGGCTTTTCTCAAGGGGGCTACTGTAGCTCCCCCTCACCATCTTAGTCCACCATGAGACAATGATTTCAAAATCTGAGTAGGGTCTCAAGATATGGATTTGGGCATAGCTGGCACAGTCCCTATGAAACAGGCACTTCCCCGGGTCGCCAATAGCTTCTCTGGCTGTCATCTAGGACCTGAGTGGGAAGCCCTCCCACTCCTGCCTTCTTCTCCAGTGTGGTGGAGACCTTCCTTCCCAAGGGTGTCTCAGGTTGTTCTGAGGCAGTTTACCCCATTTCAAGTCCCCAATCACTCTAACCCTCAAAGTTTGAGCTCTGTGACCACCACACACTCCTCCCCCACATCATGCACCCTCTCCCTACTTCTCGAGGCCTTGAAGGATACTTCCATTCCACAATGCTGATACAGGCCTTCCTCAGGGGGTTCTGGAGGGTCAGGCAGAACAAGGCCCGGGGTGGCCTGGGCAGAATCTCAGGAACAGGCTTCTTGGGCTGCTTCTTCTTCGGCCCCTCATCCTGGGGTGAAGAGGGCTCCATGGCTTCCCTGGCAAACTTGCTTTCCCTGCTCCCCCACCCCACTGCCCTCTCTTCCCTGCTTCCTTGTGTCCCCAATGCCCCCCGCCTTGGGGACTGGGCCTGGCTGAGCCTGTCCTGCTGAGCCAGCCAAGCAGGGGCGGGAGTGAGGGTGGAGGATTTCTCTCCCTGCTCCCAGCGAGTAAAATTAGCCTCCACTCAGCTCCCTGCTGCCTGGCCTGAGAACCTGAGGCCAGGCAGCTGTCATTCCTTCGAGACCAGCCAGTGACATCCCAGATTGTCTCTCAGGAGGGTAGGATGGTGAAGGGAGGAATTTATACACAGATCTGAGATGGGGCAGGCCCAGTGGGAGGCAGGATGGAAGGTTTCAAGGCTGGACCAATAGAGTTTAGGAAGGGGTAGCCTGGGGCATGGAGTGTCACCCTTCAGAATGGCCTGTCATACCAAAATTAGGATTCCCCACCCCAACCCTAGGACTTCCCCACCCCAGTCCCAGGACACTGTCCTGAGAAAATGGTAGGCAGCCTAGCTCGGTGATCCTCCCCAGCATTCCACTCCCATCGCAGGACCTGCAGGGATCAGGCCAAGACCCCTCCCATCCACCTTCAACACCACCAGGCCTGCCTCTTGTCAGGGAAACACTGAACCCCTCCTCACTGGGCTGGACGTCTCCCAGGACGACCTCGAATGGGCACACCTCTGGTATGGCACCCGCACACTGTGTAGTAACCCTGGCTTTTTACCTTTCTTCCCCACTCTCTCCCACCCCTACCTGTACCAGGGTGTTTCTCTCTGGGACTCTGGCCCCTCCTGTGCACAGTCTCCTGGCATATACTAAGATCTCTGGAAAAAGTTTATGGACTGTGAGAGCTAGCAGAAAACTCAGCCCTCCACCGCAGTAAGGCCTTTGGGCTGGGTGGGCCAGTGAGAAAGGGGCATGGGGTGGGGATGGGGGTGGGACTAGACAATGATCCAGGAATCACAAAACTCAACAATGCATTTAATTAGCCTTTTGGTGCAAACACAGTGCTAATGGACCCCAGAGGTTTATAAGTCTTAGGGGGGAAATGCAGTTCTCATTCAACCTGGGGAAAACCTGAGAAGGCTACACTGAGGATTTGGGGAGGCGGGGTGATGGCCCTCCATCAAGGAAGCCAGAGAGCGCCACCCGTGGTGTACACACATCCCATCCTTCCAAGTCTGGCTGTTCCATCGAGGCTGAGTGCAAAAGCAGTCTGGCCTCCCACCCCTCCCTCTGGGTTCCTCTCCCAAGTGATAACCGGTCGTTAGTATCTGAGGCCATCTTGCGGAGGGTCGGGGCATGGCGCATTCAAATCGGCTCGCTTCCAGCGCACTCTCAGAGACAAGGCTGCGCTGCGGTATGGACGACAGAGCGACAAGCTGGCCCCAACTAACTTTCCCAAATGCGGGCCGAGGCAGAGAGGGGGGAGGCAGGTCCGAGGATGACGGCACCGCGGGTGACCCAGCAGCGCGCACGATGCTCCCCAGAATGGGACGGTGCCTGTGGAGGAGCAGCCACTGTCCGATCAATGGCTGGATTCCTCCGACTCGAGAAAGGGCGAGGAGGAGAAGCAGGAGGACTCGGTCGACTCGGGCACCAGGGAGTGGGGCACCCGGGCCCCGCAGTCGCCGGGGCAGTCAGGCTGGAGAGCAGCTGGCCCGATGCCCGGGAGGCTGCGGGCGGAGGCTGGGGCCGCCCCGTCGGGGGCCGCGCTCAGCAGCTCCTGCAAGTACTTGATGTAGCGGATGGCGGCGCGCAGCGTCTCCACCTTGCTGAGCCGCTTCTCGGCCAGCGCACCCGGGAGGTGGCCGCGGAGGCGCGCGTAGCCCTCGTTGACGCACTTGACGCGCTGCCGCTCGCGCTCGTTGCGCTTCTGGATGAAGGCGGGCTCGAAGGGGTAGTCATAGACCCCAAAGGCTCCGGGGAAGGACATGTAGGGGAACACCCCCGCGTAGGCGTCGTAGTAAGGTGGCTCCGCATGGCCTGGGTACAGCAGGAAGGGTACGTTACCCAAGGACTCGGCCGGGGACAGCGGCGCCTGCCTGGGAGGGGGCACAACACCCAGTTGCATGCAGCTGGGGGGCCCCATGGGCCTCCGGTCCACCAGGGCCCGGCAGAAGTTATCGTTCATGGTGCTGCGTGGAGCAGGACCCAGAGTGATACCCTCACCGAATGGCCCCTATGTGGGGTCTGCAAGGTCCTGACACGGTAGACAAGTCACATCAGCAGCAGGAGCTCTGGAGCACCAGGATTTACTAGGTCCTCTTTTTGCCTCCAGGTGGCTTCCGGGGACTCCCTAACGCCATCCATTGCTTGGGACAAGTGTGGCCACTCCCAGAGGCTCAGAGGATACCCTTTCCCATCCAGCTTATGGTGCTGTGGATCTCGGAGGGCCCTGGCCCTTCTCCCCTGCACCCATGGGTAGGGCAGCTGAGCTGCCTGCTCTGCCTCCTTCTGCAGTCCAGAATGGGCACCTTCCACTGGCCCTAGCTCCAAGCCTCCATGCCAGGGGTCCCCTAGTGCTTGGTTCTTATTTTTCTTGGACTCAGGAATCCCCAGACTGTTTAGGGGCCCGAACTGTCAGAAATGCACCGGCTCAGCAGAAGGGTCCTGGGGAACGTTTCTAAAAAGGAGAAGAGTGAAAATATCAGTTAGGAAAAGTCTGCATTAGGGACTTCTTTGTGACACGCTCATCTTCAGAAGGGATTGTAGCATCATGCAGGGAAGCCACAGAGGCTTTTGCAGAGGTGGAAATCTGGGTTAAAAATCTTGTGTTTGCCCCTTAATAGTTGGGTCATGGTTTCCATATGTGGAGACATTAAAAATATCCTTCACAGAAGATTAGTAAGAAATGAGAATCAAATGAGAAAATATATATATCCTAAAATCCCTCCTACAGTGTATGACTGATAAAAATACCCAGCGACCACTTTTCAGACTGTTTGCCAAGATCAAATATAACAATGCCCCATAATGTTATTTCCTTTGAAGATGGGGATCAAATTTATTATTTCCTGGGCCTTACATTTAAAAGTGGCTCAGAAACTGCCTATTGAATTAGCAGTAGGAGCCCAGAAGCAATCACAAGTTACCCACAGGATATCACTCTTTGTTGAAGGAAGTGCATCTTTCATTACAAGAAAGATTTCATTCAGGTGTCATTGGCACTTTTGAAGCCCTCTGTCCAACAGAGACACAACCACTAATCCCTTTCTGTGTCCACTTGGGGCCAGGATATGCCGTCTCCCTCTATCCTGGGTTTCTCCTTCATGGCACTTTACAGAGGTGCCTATTCTTTCACCTCTGTGTGCCCAGAGCCGTGCCCAGAGCCTAGCCCAGCCGATGGCAATGTAATACGTGCTGCACAAACCTATGGAATACCTGAGAGGGGATTAGGCAAAAAGCTGGGCTCATCAGGGTGGGACTTAATTACATGTAGCCTTTCCAAGGTTTTAGAAAGCTGTTATTTCAGAAATAATTGGTCTGTGTTGGGTTTAAGTGCCACCAAGCCCATCACCTGTGGTTATCAGAGCCAAGGAAGTGTCATTTTTTTTTTCTAGAAGTCTCTGATCCTGTTGTCCCTTCCTGTGTGTGTCTACAGAGTCCTTAACTGCCATCTAAGCACTAATCACATCATCTTGTCTTTACGGAAATTCTCGGGTTTACTGAATGAGTGAGCGAGTGGGTTTTGCATCTCTCACAGAGTGTCATGAGGCTTTGGACAGTGGGCACGGCTTCTCCATGAGACAGAGGGACCAGCTCTCTCCCCGCTGGGGAGGCAAACTCAGTTTCTCAAGAGTCTTCTGCACCTTATTGCCTTGTTCTTTTGCAGGCCCAAGTCTAGGATTGTCCTCCATGGTGAACAAGAACCCCTGCCCCAACTCCCACAACCCCCAGAATAAACAAGGACTCAAAGCATCCTGGGGCTTGGTGTGGCTGTCCACCCCTGCAATCCCAGGGACTCAGGAGGCTGAGGCAGGAAGACTGAAAGTTCAAGGCCAGCCTTGCCAACTTAGTAACATGCTTTCTCAAAATAAAAAATAAAAAAGGGCTGGCGATATAGCTCAGTGGTAAACACCCCTGGGTTCAATCCCTAGTATGGAAAAAAAAAAAAAACCCTTCAAAAAACAAAAACAACCATCATGGAAACTCACATTTGCACTTGTTTTTATGTTTCTTTTTGCACTTGCTTTTAAGTGGAAGCAAATGCATGAGACATCAAGACAATTTAGTCTATCCCTCCCCCTCTCCCCATCGTTTTAAAGAGACGGTTCCAGAAAATTTCTCCCAAACTGATTCTTGGCTCCACCAGAACAGTCTCCTGATACACTGCTCATTCCTGACTCACTTCTTGGCTGATGTCTCCTTGGGTTTTGGAGGCCTCTGTCCACTTTTCTGCTTTGCTCAATCTTGCCATCCAAAGGGGAGGTGCAGACCCATTCCCACCCTGAGAGCCTGGCTTTCCAGCTCTTGACGTGGGTTTTCAAAGTTGTGTGTTCTGAGACGTCACCCAGTGTGAGCACCAGGGTGGGTAGGGGCTAGGCTTTCACTTTCATGGATAATCCTCTCTGTCCCTCAGTGCTGGGCACATAAAGGGTGCTCAAATTATTGGCTAGAAGTGCTCTTCTGTAACAACTTGTGTCCCATACTGTACTCCCTCCCATGATCCCCATCTCTTTATAGTTGATGTCATTATCAAAGTTTTATCTGATACAGGTTGGAAATTTATCTTAATGATTATTAATAAATTCAACTTAATTTTTGCTCAGGTTGAATCAATATTCATAACATTCATTTAAAATAACTTAGCTTACATATTCTTTATATTTTTTCCCTAAAACTATACAGAAAAATGATTCAGGCAAGAAACCTCACAGCAGGACTATTTCTTAGCCTGTTCTGTCTTTACTGTTAGAAAGAGAAGCACAGGTAGGACACACCTGTGAGTGAATTTTTTTATTCTCTAACATAAATCCTCTGTCCCAAAGCAGAAACTGAGCCACATGGTGTAGACCATTACCATGAAGGGGCATGATATTCATTCATTAAAGACTTACTGAGGAACTTCTAAATGCAGGGATGGCTACAGGTATTGGGATAGATTGTAGTAAAATAATGATAATTACTGCAATTGTTACTTATGACACTGTGCTAAGGGATGCATGCGAATCATATTTGAATTCTCACGGCGTTCTTCTGAAGTAGTTGTTAACATTATTCACTTTTATAGGTGAGAAAACTGAATGCCTAGTTATCTTGAACTAGTAAATGCTAATTGACTCTATCCAGCTTCTCTTCTCCTTCTCCTGGTATTTCTCCTACTGCCTCTCATCTGATCGAAGGATCAGAAAGGCTTGCACTGACCTAAAGAAAGGATGTTATTAAATTATGATTTCTGTTGGAGGGGTGTTTGCTGCAGATTAAAATTATATTGTTATGTTTTCTCTGTTCTGAAGAGAGGTACTGAAGGACACCTTGGTCATCCTTGGGAGGGCAATATGCCTTCAAAGATGTTCTTCAATGTTGCCCATGGATTTCTGTTGCTGGAAATATGACTGAGGCTAGCACCTGGAGCTTAGCCCTGGGAGCCTAATGAGGAGGTCCCTTGCCTGAGCTTAGAAAACCCAAGGAGGAGCTGTGAGCGGCAACTTTCCCATGGACTGCTTCCTACACTGGGCAGAACCAGCCGTCAACAGCGCCACAGTGTGGTGGCAAGAAAAAATGCAAGTAGCGAATGGGAGAATATTGCTGGAAGTCCCTGTTACTGCTCCCCTTAGGGGTTGAATCTCCTTCCAGGTCTTTTGGAAAAATCAGAACAAGGAAGAACCCTCAAGAACCCTCATGTTTGCCAAGATGTACTAATTTTCTTCTTGAGTTTTTGAAGCAATTCACAACATTTAAACTTTCATTATATTCAATAAAATTTGCATAAATGTATTTTGTTATTGATTTTGAATAAAAATTAGTGCATTGTATCAGGCAACTTCCTAGGCAAAAGGGTGGTTCTTATATTCCCTATAGCAGCTTCTCCTCCACATGCTAACTATCATAGAAAGAATATAGTTGATACAGGGAATGCAATTGACTGAATTATATTATGTGCATGTCCAAATATGCAACAATGAATCCCACTAGTATGAATAATTGTAATGCACCCATAAAACAAATTTTAAAATATATTTTTAAAAAGAATGTTATGGAGTGAACCCATGGATTACCTCAAGTAGCCATGGACTGTTACCTGCAGACAGTGCTGTCTACTCTTTCAAGGGGACTTGGGTCTCCTCTGGGATTGGGGGCACCTCCCCAGCTCCCCAGCTCTGCTCTACTCTCATCTACTTTGCCCTGGCAGCAGAAGAGCTGATGTGCTTGGCAAGGGGTACCTGAAGTTCTTCTGCGAAGCAAGCTCCAATGAAATTTCCCTTTTATGTCCATGGTGTGTGACAGTGCTATCCCATTCAGCTAGTGGAGGGTCAGCTATCACCAGATAATGTGTAGAGAACTTTATAATCTTCAGTCCAACTTGCAACAGAGAGGGGAAGTGGTCACTGGGGGTCTCCTGGGCCTCTGTCCCAATTTTTGCTGCTTCTAATTGTGCCCCGCCAACATGGGCCCCTTCCTGTCACATGCTTCCAGAGGCCCTAACTGTGCACACCAGCCAGGAACAGATGGCACATTATTGTAACTTGCTTTGGCTGGTCATCATATCTCACCTGCTGATCCCTGTCCCAACACTCTCCCAGGTGCCCAGTGTTCACTGGGCCCCCATTTGTCCTTTCTCCAGCCTTATATTCTTGGTGGCCAGTGGGCAGTCCTAGCGTTCTCTCTCTAGAGGTCTTTCTGACACTGTCCCCGAGCCCAGGTTGTAAACTGTAAACACAAGACCTCTCGTCTTAAATTTCATCATGGACCCACAGAGTTCAGGCTCAGTAGATATTGTTGATGGACACAGTGAGAATTGGCAGAGGCAGAGGTGAACTTTGGGCAGGCTGGGTCACTCACAGAGCAGACACCGCAGGTCTATCTTCCTTACTTTTCTGACTACTGTTTTTGCTGGGACAAGAATTAGGTGTCTGAGATCAGAAGTTGGCTGAATATATCCAGCAGAAGACTGTGGTTCCAAAGAGGTTTGAGGCTAAATGTATTTGTCATGGTTCATCTGCTTCTGCCATCACTCGGGGACACCCCTGACAGGTGCTCAGTCCACAGTGGTGCTTTTCAGCAGCAATGAAACTGCTTCCAGGACCCGCCCCCCCCCCCAACACTCCCTTCTATTCCTGCTGCCAAATACTTGGTGAAGGACTCAAAAT